TTATTCAAAAATAAAAACATCATCGTTTTCTCAAAATCACATAAAGCCATATTATAACATCGACTGAGATAAAGAATAAAATGAAATATTAAAAACACGATGTATCTCGCTGCATTGCGCGAGTACGCTTCTAGTATTTTAAAAAAAATACGCCTTGTTCGAGATGGATTCAACATTCTATTGAATACATAGTCTTGTATAAACTTGTTTCAAAAGGCGAACTATCAATATAAGCCTTTCACACTATGGTTAGAAATTTTGGCCAATATTGGCGATGTTAAAGTGCTCGCACTCTCTGTCTTCTTAATTTTATGATTGTGATACAATTACTAAAGGGTTATTATTATTTATATTCTGATTTTTATATGTATCAGTTGTTATTGTAAGCGTTTGTTCTTTAAGGTATTTTTAACAGATTTTCTAAAATTTCTTTAAAATGGAGAATCAAAATTTTAAATCTTCAAAAAATATTGCATTTAACTCCGATAGCTTCTCCGTTTTGGAGATTACAACATTCATTATTTATTAAAATGTTCCAAACATTTATAAAATATTATTTTCTCACATAAATACTTAATAAAATATTATTTATCTCACAAAAACATTTAATTTTAAGATTTGTTGTTGGTGGAATATGATTAAAAAATGTTTTTCTCTCATGGTAATTATTTTTGGGGATTTCTTCAAATTCGGAGATTTTTGCACCTTATCTTCTACTTTCTCCATTTTGAAGAAAGTTTTAGGAAATTTGTTGTAACAAAAAATTGTTCAAAATCTCATTTCTTCTATTTTATAGAAGCTGTTGGAGATGTTGTAATACATACGGTAATCGGCTTTTCATTCAAATTATCATCTGCGAATAATAATTTTATATGCTTTATTTTTGAAATATTTATTTATTTTTTCATTTATTTTACTTTTAAAAAGGTCAACCCTTTGAACACGGCTGAAAGAAGCTCAGCCCATTCGTGCGGTGCTTTATTGAAAATCCAGACGATTTTCATACAAAAAAGCGCGTCTGTCTTCAACCAACCCTACACTTCAGTATGTAATTTAGAGTAAACAAATGAAAGGGTCAACATCAAATTAGAAAATCTTCTTCAATTTCTTACTCCATTAAGAAAAAAGAAAAAGCAAAACCCAAAAATGGCTGCTTATTTTTGGGTATTTACAGCCCTCTACATATACACATCAAATTCTTCTCCGATCACCACCATTTCTAGTTTAAAAATCATCGCGAGCCTCACGACAACCCAACAACTCCACGACGGTGAAACCTTAGTCTCTCCAAATCAACGATTTGAATTTGGGTTTTTCTGCCCGTCAAATCCATGCAAAGATGTCAAGTTCTTGGGGATTTGGTACAAAAATTTATCACCGATTACTGTTGTTTGGGTAGGTAACCGGAAAAAGCCAATTCGAAGACCATCCCCAGGTGTACATTTGGTGTTAGATGAATCTGGGGTTTTCTCTATTCAAGATGCTAGTAAAAAAGTCATATGGAGAAAAGTTCCCAAAGGTCACTCTTCTTCTTTGCCCCGTAAACCAGTTTTGCAACTTTTGGATTCTGGAAATCTTGTGGTTCACGCTTGTATTAATTCTCCTTGTGGATCGTATATCTGGGAAAGCTTTAATCAACCTGGAGATACATTATTGCCTGGGATGGAGCTCAGTATAGATTATGGATCTCCGTTTAGATATCGTGCAATCACTTCATGGAGAAAGAAAGATGATCCATCCGATGGCGATTTCAAGTTTGGCTTTGACAAGTTGGTTCAAGCTCCCCAATTGGTGCTCACAAAAGAGAATGGGGTTAGACTCTCGCGATGGGGGCCATGGGATGGCCAAAAATTCAGTGGTATGAATTCTTTAATGGATAATCCAATCATGTCACCATCATTGACTTTTGATGAAGATACAGTTTCTTTGAAATTCGAGGCATTAAATGACTCGATTCTATTGAGGTTTGTCTTGAGTCCACTAGGGAGCCTGCAGTTCCTTTGGTGGAAAAGCAAGAATGAAGGATGGCTAACAATTTTGACGCTAAATAAAGATAATTGTGACCGGATTGGATCATGTGGATCTTATGGTATATGTTATAGTGATGATCCAAGTTGTAGATGCTTGGAAAAAGGATTCATGGCAATTTCATCAGTAGATTGGTGTGGATTTGAGTGCTCAAGTGGATGCAAGCGAAAGATTGATCTGAATTGCACAGAGGGAGATGGGTTTTTAAAGTATGAAGAAATGAAATTGCCTGATAATGCAACTGTTTGGGGTGCTTTAAGCACCAAAGAATGTGAGGACAAGTGTGCAAAAGAATGCAATTGTATAGCATATACTAGCTTGAACCTGTATGGCAATGGGAGTATTTGTGTTGTTTGGTTTGATGATCTCATAGATCTACGAATGATTCATGGAGGTGGCAATGATCTTTACATACGCATGTCACACATCGAGTTAGGTATTTGATAATTTCAACTTATTTTTAGCTATCTTTATTGCTTCAGTTGTGCAAGTACTTGAAATTTATCCTCATTTAAAAGTTTAATGACACATGTCTAAGGGAACACAAATCTAGAACCCATATCAAATTTAATTCTTGAACTTGTCATAATGATGAATGTAAATCTTGTGCAGCCTAACATTATGTTTCAGGGATGAATCCATTTTTTCTTAGAATTTAGCCGAACGTCACAATATAAAAAAACCATCATTTGCAACTCAAAAGGGATACCAAACATAGAGAAGCCATCACTAAATGGTACTTGTGAGTTGTGACCAGCATCCTACAAATCATGACCTTTCTTATAGTGTTAAAGTACTATTCCTGTGCAGGTGTATTGATTATGATTTTATGCAGTTGTTCTTGCTGTAGTAATTGATTGTCTTGTATGTATCATCTAAGGATACACTTATATGCATGAACACAACTGAAAATAATGTCTTTTAGCATTAAATTTCATATGTGGATATTCCTTATATAGTTCTAGTTTTTTCAGTAGCTTAAGTTCCTGCTAGATATAGGCCACAATTGATGTTCTTGAGTTTATTTGCTACCTTTCTAAAACTCAAAATGAAAAAGTTAGTGTTATTAAATCTAGAACTTTTTTGATTTTCTTTAAAACATGTGGATATTCAGATTCCATTGTGCATACGAAGAGGAAGAAAGTAAAATTGGTTGCTGCTATCGTTCTCTTGCCGACAATTTCTTGTGTACTTCTATTGGCAATTATCATTCGATTTGTTAGTATGCTAAGGAGATCAAAGACAAAAGGTACTATGTTGTAGTTTTTATATTTCATATAACCTCCTATACGCTAATTATGTTCCATCGTCGTACCATTTTATTTGTAAATTTGTTGCTCTCTATTTAGCATCAGGACGGGACCACAGTTCATTGTCAGAATTTGGAGGATCTCAAGAGGAAAATTCATCTTGCCGTTTGTTTGAACTGGAAGAAATTTCCGCTGCAACTAATAATTTCTCTACGTCTAATGAGATCGGCGAAGGAGGGTTTGGTAGAGTCTATAAGGTAAATTCCTATAACGTTCACCACAACGCCTGACAAATGGAAATGGAAAATGAAACGGATCTTTTGCAGGGGGAGTTAGCTCGAGGAGAGGAAGTAGCTGTGAAGAGACTAGCCGAGAGTTCTTGGCAAGGCATCCGGGAATTTAAGAATGAAGTCACTTTGATAGCAAAGCTTCAACATCGGAATCTTGTCAAGCTCTTGGGTTATTGCATCGAAGGAACTGAAAGAATACTCATATATGAATACCTCCCAAACCATAGCCTAGACCAAATTATTTTCGGTAAATTAATAATTAGAAGTTCAAGTTCTTATCATACTCTTCTTTGCGCACTACGAAATTTATATGTGTAAACTTGTAGATCAAGTCAAGAAAAGACTCCTGTTGTGGGACGATCGTTTCAAGATTATCAAAGGAGTAGCAAAAGGGCTTTTGTATCTCCATGACGATTCTAGGCTTAGAATAATACATCGTGACCTAAAGGCAAGTAATATTCTGCTTGACAGAGAAATGAACCCCAAAATTTCTGACTTCGGGTTGGCAAGAATTCTTGCAAGTGAGAAAGAGGAAACGACAAATCGAGTAATTGGAACACAGTAAGTGTCCGTTCCTAGTGTTTTTTTATAACAAAAAGTACAACTTTCATCTAATGAAAATCTAAAATATGTTCTTCTATGTAGTGGTTATATGTCTCCAGAATACATAATGAATGGGCAATTTTCGACCAAATCTGATGTTTATAGCTTTGGTGTTTTGGCTTTGGAGATAATAAGTGGAAAAAAGAATTGGGGATTTCAGCATCCTGACCATAATCTAAACCTACTAGGTCATGTGAGTACCTGAGGCCAGACCTCACTCATGATATTTGGGTAAACATGTTTTACTTCTCTAGTAGTCCCATTTTGACATAGAAATTATGATTGATTTTGGTTGCAGGCTTGGAAGTTATGGACGGAAGGACGGTGCCTAGAACTCATGGACCCTGTATTAGGTGAGTCAGTCATTCAGGATGATGAGGTGGTAAAGTGCATACATATTGGTTTGTTGTGTGTGCAAAAAAAGGCTGAGGATCGGCCTACAATGTCTGAGGTAGTCAACATGCAACAAAATGAAAATTTTGTTTCTTTGCACCAACCAAATGAACCTGGTTTTTATGCCGGAAGGTCTTTGATTGGATTAGGGTTTTCTACAACAGAAAGGCTAGACCTTGATAGTATAAATGAGGTAACAATGACGACTTTAACTGGACGATAGTTCAGAAGAAAGAAACTGATATCTTTTTAGATAAGCAGAATACATGGACACATGTAGAGATTATACAAGTCTATAGAAGCATACTGATTGTATCAAGATCGATATGAGCATCCCTGAATTTACTTGTTGACATTTTTTTCTAACGATATTTGGAATATATGCATATATCAATCATGTTAACTGTTCTCCTGTATGCACATTGTTGAAAACTTTTGGATGAAGTCATACTGCAATTCAATGTCACAAGTCATCCGCCGTATCATATGTTTCACCCTGTCATTGAAGAGGTCATTATCTATAAGCAACATGTCCAAGAGGTGTCTGCCTTTAATGAAAGCATATTGTTTTTGAGAAACCAGGAAATTTAGAACTGACCTAATCATCTTTGCACAATCTTCCTTCTATCAATAGGCTGTTAATCTACTATATAATATCCACCTTTTCTATCTCTTTGGAACATTTTGTATTTTCTGGAAGCACATATGGTCACTTAAAATTCAATCGATTTTTCGGTGTTCTTTATGAAACCCGTAGTTTACAATTTGTGGACGTAGTATAGGAGTTTAGAGTTTTGGGAATAATCCCTTATAATCCTCTGAGAAATATACAGGTTATAGATTCACATTGATAAGACTTTAAAATAATATAGGAAATGACCAATAACCAAATACAAACCCCATAAATATTACAAACCTGTGAAAAACAATTTAAACCATTCAATAAGTTTAAGTTGATTTCAAGTTGTTATTCATATAATGTTTCATATGTTTTGTTTTTGTGTCGGTAGGAGTGTGTGTTTTATGCTTTTCATATCAACTATAAAACAATTTAACATAAGTAAGTCAACTTTATGAAAATGTCCGCTAAAGAAATCAGCATAATCATCTGTCAATCAATCACGTTCTACTTTTTGTAATGACACCGAAGTCGCAAGTAATCTAATGCACCATCAGCAACATGTCCAAGAGCTATCGATAATGAAAACATACTGTTTTTGAGAAACCAACAATTTATGCTGACATGTTCTAATAAAAGGTTCAACAATTTTTCAATTGAATATTTAAACTAATTAAATTTGGCGATATCATATTTTATAAAACCAATTAAATTTGAAGAAGGAAAAAAGGCCTGATGCGTTGCCTTCTTCCACATAAATTAAAAAGGTTTTCTTTATGGATCTTGCCAAGTTTGTGTTAATAGGTTTGATGGGAGGACCGATCTCTTTACTTGCATAGTTTAGGATTAATCAAGAGATTGTGAGGAAAGGCATCACTTTCCATTTTATTGCACCTTCATCTTTGCACAATCTTCCCTCTATCATTAATTAGACTGTTAAACTGCCATCTAATAAACACCTTTTCTATCTCTGAGTACGCCATTTGGAACATTTTTTTTATTAATATCCGGAAGCATATATGGTGACTTCATATTCAATTTGATTTTCCCTCTCTATAGCTGCAGCCTGTACATCAAGAGGCTTTCTCTACTAATTCTAGCTCATGTAAACCTCTTCCAGTGTTCTTTATGAAACATGTGTAATTTAGAGTATATATCACTAGAGAGAGAATGTTCCAACTTCATCATAATCACAAATTTTTACATATCATAAAAAGTGTACCTGAAGCAGAATGCTTTATAAGCTGGTTTTAAAATTTCTCTCTTCGAGTTTTGACTTCTTTTTGCTATTTGTTTTAGGATGGATTGAATTGAGGTTATGTAACCCTAAAATCTGGAAAGAATGATTAATTAAAAACTTTGATAAAACATAAAATAAGGAATAAATTCATTTCTTAATGTCAAGACTTAGGTTACCCGAATGGCAATTTAAGATTTAACATCGACAAATAATATCGAAAGCATGGATATTACACTATCCAAAATATAACGCCTTTTAGTGACGGAGGAGACCCGAATTTATTAAATGTGATGGAATACAAAAGTAGGCCACGTATCAACGTTATCAAACCGCACCTCAGATTCATCGACATTAGTGTCCAATTTAATAAGTGTCACCTCAATTTTAAACACATTTAGTGTCTATTCCACCAAGTTTCACCTCAAGGCTACAATATCTTTAGTGCACACTTCTTTGACTGTCACCATACGAATATCAAATCTTAGTGCATTTAACCCTCATGCATAAGGGTAAAGGATATGAACCTCAAACCTCCTACTTGATAACATAAAGCATTTAACGCTATGCGTAAAGGTTAAAGCATCAAAACTATAATACCATGGTCCAAGAGTCCGACTCATAAGAATTCACCTCCATAATATCGGGACGACCACACTGCCAACTCAAACATTGGTCACATAGTGAAGACATCAAGACTTCTCACTTATCAACCACGACTAACTCATGTTTACTGATCTAATGCGTTACAGTCTAAATTACATGACCTTAAATGAATGACCAACACACTCAAAATATGAAATTCCCAAATAAATATGAAATATAAATAACGTCCAAAACTCAACTTTGAGCGATTTTAAAACTAGACAAATGTCCTCATACTCATGTAAGTCAAAATCAAATCAATAAAATCTATAACTCATTTCCTACTAGTAAGAAGCTGTTCCTTCCCTGGATTCACGTGTTCCCAGTCTGGCTAGGATAAGCGGCCAACCTCTTGGATACCTACGTTACTTGGCTCGTGTGCAACCCCGTCAAAGTAAACTTCGTTCACCACCACGTTCTTTTAGAACCCACAATAAAAGCCAACATAAGTCAAAATACATAATTACCCAATATTTATACAAACTCATGCTCCAAATATGATTTGATTAAAAGCTCACCATTGATGGGAGAAATCCTTCCAAAATATCTCAGAACTCAGTAATATGAAATTCCCGAACGATTTATAAAACGAAATACACTAAAAGTGCATTTACATCAAATAATTTCCATTATATATAACTCATCATCAAAGTACCATATTTTATGATTTATTTATCCAAATGTCCAAAATCCTCAAATACAAGAATTTATCAAGATTTATAAAATCAAATGTACTGAAGATGCAATTTCAAGGAAACACTTTAGGACTCCAAAGTACACATTTTGGCATGTACAAAGTTCTCGCATTCAACGACATTCAATGATTACAAACTAGTCAACATATGTGTGAAGATGACACAAGTTTCAGCGAATACTGAAGAGACCTATGGCGTAATTCCAGCATTCAACGACCAAAAGAAGCTTATCATGCATTCCTGTAAAAGATTGACACGTGTTGTGTACCTTCTGAATTGCATTTAATGCAATGGGTATAAATAGCTGAATGTTCTCTAATCAGTTATTATCTTCCTCACTCTAAGAAGCTTACCCAAGAAGTTACTTATCTCACTGATCTCTCTAAAGAGAAAGAACCACTTTGAGCAACTGATCTCTCTAAAGAGAAAGAACCACTTTAAGCAACTGAAAAACACATTTCCATGTCTTTATTTCTTACAGCAAATCTTTTCCCTTTGCTAAGTGTAATTGTGTGTATCTTTAGATTGGTTAGGTTGGTTTTCTTTGCCTTATCTTTTCTGCAAACAATCTGTAAAATATGTATTGATCTTTCTTTATCAATATATAATTTTTAAAAGTGAAAGCGTTTGTATTTGTATTCATCCCCCCTTCTACAAATTGTTACCTATAAACTTTTGTAGATCCAGCTGAGACCAACAAGTGGTATCAGAGCAACGTTTGCTTTTTGTGTTGTTTTGTTGTTTTATTGGCATTTTATTATCTTTTATTCTCTAGATAATTTTTTTCCTTTACAAATGGCTTTACAAAACACTAGCACTCACTTTCACGATAATGGATCTCTTGTCAAACCTCCCAGTTAGACAACTTCAGTCTTTGGAGGAATCAGATGTCTCTTTTCTTGGAAGGTGTGGATCCTGAGATTCCATACTATATAGAAAATGGACCTTATATTCCATATGTTATATCTCCAGCAGTTCCTGCAACTGCTAGGACTACCGTGATTCCTAAACGGCAGATTCTAAAGCTCACTCATCAATGGAGTGATAAAGACAAGAAGAAGATGGCTTTAGACACTCGTGCGAGGTCTATAATAGCCATGTCTCTTCCTGACGAGGTATATCACTTTGTGATGAAGCTCACAACCTTGAAATCCATGTGGGACACTCTATATGGTCAATATGATGGTACTACTAAAGTACAAGAATCGAGGAAGATTAATCTAGTAAGACAATATGAAAGCTTTCTCTATGGAAAGAATGAATTGTTGTCTGAAGTACATCAACGTTTTAATTGTCTTCGTATCGATTTGAGGACAGTTGAAAGAGAATATTTCAACTCTGAGACTCAGACAAAGTTTGTTGAATGCTTGCTAGAATCATGGGATCAATATACTATGTGTCTCAAGATGTCCAAGGACATGTCCCTCTCTCTTAGCTCTCTTTATGGGATACTACTCAATCATGAGCAATCCCGTCAGCTGAAGAAAAATTTTCTTAGAGATTCTATGGAAATGAAAATCTCTCTGTTAGTTTTGATCTCTGAAAGTCCTTCAGCTAACCCTTCCAATTCTTCTAAACCTCCTATTTCTTCTGTTTTTTAAATTGAGTTAGATCTTACTAACTTTAAGGACTTGTTAGATCCTGATCTTTTAGAGTTTGATGAGTCACTGGCCCTTTTAACTAAATCTTTTAGAAGGTTCGCCAGAAAGAGTAATTTCATAGATCTCCTTCGCTGACCATTTCTGAAAAGCCAAATAAAATCCTATTGACAAGGCTTCAGCAATCTGCTACAAATGTCAATGCAAATGTCACTTTGCAAGTGAATGTCGGTCTAAGATGACTGGGAGAACATGTTCCAAACCCCCATCCTCTTTTAGGTCCAGAGATGACAAATATTTAAAGCTGAAGGAGAAATATAAGAAGATGAAGAGTTCTCAGTGTAAAGGCAAAGATCTTATCGCCGAATAACATGATTGGGCTGATTCGACTGAAGAATCATCCTTTGATGAGGAAGATACGACCTACAA